AAATGGGCAAGGGTTCTGCTAACTGCCTATAGCCCAAGGGGTCCAAAGTCGGCGAAGGGGGTCCTAATGATTCCGCATGAAGTGCTGTCTGTACCGCCTTCCCGCCAGTACAATCAAGGTGCAACTTGTGAAATCTAAACACCGACGGGACTTGAGACACGAAGCCAAGTCAGTTCTTTACTTGGAACCCGGCCCTGGATACCGCACCTGAACATCATACTTTCCGGCAGTGGCAAGCACGAACACAGTGCTCAGGATCGGCGCTGGGCAATTGTCTCCTGTTTCTGCTGCATTTACTCAACACTCAAATGCAGCCTTGTTTACCAAATATGCTCTGCTGTGATTATGCCCCAACCACATGAACGACACGGTAGATCTCCTGGGTTGCACTGCACAGCGTAGACGCCGAAATCGCTGACTCGGTAATAGTCCCCGTCCGTGAGATTGAACTCCAAGTATTCGTCTCCTGTGAACATTTGGGCATGGCGTAGGCACTGCCCAGAGCACTCGGCCTTAGTCCCTAGGGCCCTAGGACAAGGGATTCCATGGTGGCAAGTCCTGGACCAACTACCGCAAGGTCCAGATCATTCACGTTGCCTCTGCGACAGCAATCAAACGCTACATTGAAGGACATGTGAGTGCTGACATCAATGGCTGCCCCTCCGCGCCTTCCCAGCGAATCGCCACAGCCAGGTCTCCCTCGAAGAGGACTCCCTAAAGGGCATGCTGATGTGGAGGGCGGAATACACGAAAATATCTCCCCCTTCCCCCACCCGCACCTGATCCCGGACGCGGCGCTCAGCCTCGGGCCTATGCTGCAGGTCGATGCCGACCTGTGATTCGGGGGGCTGTATCCGACGACTGAAACGCCCAAGCCTGAGGCCTACTCCGCCTCTCGCGTCTGGTCAGTGTAAGCAGGGGCACAGAGTCAACAGAACCGAGGCAAGCCGCCCATGCGTCTTCCATTGGCAAAGACCACTGCGCGATCTCGACAAGGTCAACGAGGCCATCCGAGTCCGTATCAAGGCCAATCCTTGTCTAATGCAACGAAGCTGCTACATGTACCTGAAATTCGACGCAACCACACGCCGGGAAACATTTCAAACCCCTGCCCAACCTTGTCTAAGGCTTGATCTTTCCAATCAGATATAGCGGGGCTTCAACTCAGCCGGACTTCTTCCGTTGTCAACATACGTTTCCAGCTTAATGGGTTCGCCCTGTGTTGCCACATTCGTCACGCATGACGTCTTAATGTATGAAGAGAGTGGCCCGGGGGTGCTGCAGTTTCTGTGACAGTCGGACTGCTTTCTGCCCTCAGGCGGCGGCTCAACACAAGTCCCTAAGAGTTCTCGTGCATCGGCCGGGTGGGTCTGGAGGGTTACACATCAGGACATCCTGTAGTACTATATAATAATGAGATAATGAGAATGGTTTATTTAACTGCATTATTCTTGTTTATGACGGTGTCCAAAGAACCTCTGCAATCTAGATCGGACCTCATGGAGTTCGGTAGGCTCCGGCGATCTCGGTCTTCGATTTTTGTTTGATTAGGGTTATCGGGTTTGGGGTATTCGGGTGTAAGATTTGGGCTTATGGGATACCCACAGCCTCATGCAGGTGTTGGACTTCTATTCGAAATCTCGTAAACGCTTTACAAAGTGAAAGGGTCTTCAGTTCTCGCGGGGGTGGCTGCACATGCGGAAACCTTGGCATAACGATGGCAAGTGTGGCTAGCAGTCTCCGTGCATTGCACACACATTCGGGATCCTACTTTGCATGCGAAGTGTAGCAAGATGTGATTCGGGTGCTGTCCGCGTGGGGTTGAGACGGTACCAGTGGACCCGTGTCGGCAAGAGATTGAAGCTCGCTGGGTAGTACTCTAGAACTAATAGTCAGGGGGAAATCCACTACGATGGGAGAGGGGTTGACTCATTGATGTACAGTTTCTGGGCATGGGCCGATATATGAGATCAGGCCAGGTGGTGGAGGGGCATGGTGGGTTGTCATAGATTAGATAGGGCTAGGCACCATTAGATTACGGCTTGGCATCCCATTCTTCGCCGGGACACTGATCCTGGGGGTATGTTGGATCTGAACCAAACATCGCGTTCCTGAAGGTCTCTCCACCTTGGCATCCAGATGAAGCCGCAATGTTCTCACTTCCTCGTGCTCTGTCCGTACCGAAAGAAGTTCCGGACAAGACGTGTGATGACATGAACGAGCATGAAGCTGCCAATTTACGCTTACCGCACAGTGCTGGCTAATTATTACCTAATTGTGGTCCTACACTAAATATCGAAGGATGGGCCCATGGTTCAATGAGAGGTACCCCAAGATTGCAGGTGGACCGTCCGGAGGAGGATTCGATCTGCGCACTCTCGGTCGAGGTTCGTGTACCTCCACACCGCTTTCGGGCTTGGCGGGATTTTGCAGTTCATGGCTTTGCCTGCAATGTTTGATTGCATTGGACTTCACAAGCCTTGCAAGCGATGATGAAAGGTATCGACATGTGAGGCTTCACACGATTCGGACCGGCTTCTGGAGAATCTTTGTGAAACGCGGCAGGTGGCTTGCAAGCATGGCTTGCCACAATCCGAAGCCCGAAATGATGATTCAAACAGTTGAATCACAACCTGCCTTGCTCTCAAGCCATCCACGCGACCCATGATCTGACTGGTCAGGCCTGGTGTCGAAACGCAGCCGCCAGAACCGATGCTCAAAGTACCTCTCGTGCTCCTGGCACAAAAAATCGAATCAAGCACTCTGGCCACAGCGAGTCCTGGCCTCAGCACTTCGGACCCCAGAAAATTGAAAAAGCGACCTTCTTAAACGGCTCGAACCTCATTGGACCAAACCGAATGGCGACCCTCCGAAGCTTGTGACCTCAACTTTGCCACGGAGCCAAGCTTCATGACCCTGAAGAATACTTACTATCAGAACATGTGGGCCAAGTGTGTGGACATATCTTGCTGCATGTCTTACGAATGGTACATGATATAATGTATCATACATGCTGCTCATGACATGTGTGCATGTGTAGGAAATGATTATCGAGCACACCTGTGCATGATGGCAGTTCTGATGCTATGCAACCTTTACGCAGGCCTTCTTCCGACGACTAGAAACCTTATCAATAGACCATTCCCAAGTTCTGGCCTTGCGGATGGATCTTGTTAACTTATGTTCCCTTAAAGTGGGCACCACCCTATGAGTCTTCCTATGAGTTCAGCGTATGGGCCTTTTGCTAGGTTCCCCTATGGGCTGAATGTGTCTTCATGCATGGGTCTTCTAGTAGGTTTTTTGCGTTTCAGGCAATTAGGCGGTATGGTTAGCATCAAGAAAATGCCAATCACTAGACGTGGCTACATCGGTGCCGAAACAACCTTTCCATCCGACTCCCAAATATGAAGCCCAAGACGGGACTGGCCTGGGGCGCCTTGCCGTCCTGCAACAATGGTGGAAAGTGAGGCTTAGTTTGACCGTCTTGCGGCTTGCGGTGCTAGTAGTCTGATGTCAGGAGTTGTAGTGACCCAAACTGACATCATTTTTGCCTGTAGGCGACGTGGAACCGAATATTCTCTTAGCACGGACAGACTACCGACCCACAGAGATTGCGTTCGGGCCCACGCCCAGCTGCTCGAATCCCGCGTGCAGCCACCAGTCCAAAAGCTATCTGAACCGATTCCAAGCTCTGCCCCAACAGCGAAGCACCCACCACCCCTGAAAGGAAGAAGCCGCCCTAGCTCCAGAGCCCGAAAGCAGCCTTGGTGGTGGCCATGCATCGGGCCATTGCAGGATAGCTTTGCCCCGGGTCCATCAAGCCTGAGGGCTCAAGCAAGTGATGGCGGTCAAACCGAAGCCTTTTGACTCAGAAGTCTTCTTTTCGAACATTTGCTCAAAACCTTGTGGTCTGAGGCAGGCATCCCAATGCCGGACCGAAGAACGGCCCATCTGACACCGAGTTCCGGGCTCACTTCCACCGTAATGGACAGGTCACTCGGGTAGATGTGCTGGATGTTCACCTTTGGTGCAGTGGTGTCCTTAGTGAATCGACGCGATGCGGTACAGAACTGCCGTGACGTTCGATCGCGCGGTCTGCGTGACCCGAAAAACTGTTCAAGCCCATGGGTGTACCAGCGCTGTAGCAGCTGATTCGGAGCCCACGGCTCCGGCAACATACTTGTGGTCAGAACAAGAGGGGCGCTAGCTTCAGCTGCTAAACCTATCTATGCTCAAGACAGAAGGGCGTGTACGAAAGCACGCCGCAGTCCGGCACCCACATGCTTGCGCTAACGCCGAAGCTATGCCATTCGCAACGGGTGGCCGTGGTGTGGAACGTGACGGGCGCCGACTGGCTGTACATCTGATTGCCATAGTCATCCTCCCCGAAACAGAAAACCTGCAGGATTGGGGACATTGGGATGCGAAGCTAGCTGTTCGTCGCATGTATTGCGTTGGGCATTCGTGCACCGGCTTGAACCCTGAACCACTCCTTCAAAGAAGCCTCACCACGCTGCAACAGCCGTATGCTCCCGGGCTGCGAGGCCTCGTAGCTGCGATTCGGCTGGAGGCCACCGATCGTCACGTGGTGCATGGTGCCATTGTCCGAGAACGGCGTCGGCAGACCCTGGAAACAAACTGGTAGAATAATATGCTCCATTGCAGAGGGTGCCCAGGGTTTAGGATACTTTGCTGTCGACTTGCTATGCAGCAAGACAAGGTTTCCGGTAGCAGCACACACGCACCACGACAGGCCTCCGCCATGTCAAACTTGTTCACAATGTCCTGCAGGTTAGCCACAGCTTTTCGAGCAAAGGCCGGGTATGAACTACTCTCGAGTGACAGAGGAGCTCAGATTCTTTTGAAGCCAGATTTCTGTCTTGGGGCCCAGTCATGGCATTCCTTGATTAAACATCGCTCCTCGAGCCGGGTGTCGAACGCAGTGGCATAGGCTTCAATCTCGCAGATTCGCATCCCGAAGGGTTCCGGCAGGGATCGGAGCTGGGTCACGCTGCCCCATACGCTGACCCAACTGCCCTGGATGACCTTGTCAGACAGTCAGACAGGGTGAGGCATTGAGGCATGGTGAACCACTACAAATGATGGAGAATGCCTACAATTACGTGCCACTACGATTGCTGTTGGTCCGAAATAACAATTGTGCCACTTCTCCCAGAAGAAAATTATCTGCAGGAAGCTGGGATGGCAAGGCGACAGCACCCTGCAAGCAGTCCTAAACGGCCCCCGAGCCCGCAAGACTGCACGCACTCTGGCCACATTGTAAGGTTGAACAAGACTGACCTCCATTTAGCAGCATCCACATCTATCTCGATGAAAGATGCTGTGCTGCATGGCCATACATGGTCGCCGGTGGCATCTGCAATGACCTTAGCAGGCTTGAAGGATAGGACGGACAAGAGACTGTCAGTTTTGGTGCCTTTGAAACGGGTTAGTTTTGTCTACAGGATCTTGCAGATGCCTGTAAACATGAACAGGGCTCCTGGTCCAAGGACAGTAATTCTGAAGAGTGAAGAGTGGCTGTACAAAGCGTGTCGGTCTGGCGGCTTCCGGCGGTACCCACCTTGGCTCTCAGCCACGGAAGCGAGTAACACTCTCAGGAGCGAAGCCCACAATGCCTTGCGAACAGTGTCCGCCCCAGGCTGAAGCCGAGCTGCGAAGACAGACCAATCAGCGGACTGCTCTGGGCGGCCATCCGTTGGCACCACCAATCCTTGATGCATTAAGCTTCTGCAGCATCCCCGTGACCCCGTAAGTTCGAAGAAATTACTTCAAAAGCGGCATACCCATTTGCACCAGAACAGGGCAGAGTATGCTTCTTTTGGTTTCCAAGCATCGGATGGCCCTGATACGGTAGAGCAGGTCGCCGAGATCAATTCGGAAGTAAGGTGTATTCACGTTGTCCTGTGTCGCATATTGTGTTGTTTGGGGTTCGAGGCAAAGGCTTCAGGTGTCACAGGCATACCGTGCTCTCGTCATGTACCCTATGTCAAGAGGAAATCCAATGTTCGAGCTCTTCTCCGATCCTGCCGGCGCGTCGAGGCGCAGACGTGCACCGGATCGTTCCTCGGATTTCAATTGAAGCTTAGGGTTTAGGGTTTATAAACCCTAAACCCGAAACCCTAAACCCCCCAATACCCCCGAGTTTCGTCGAGTTGGGAGGGCCTGGTCTCAACTGCTGCCTACAACGGAACAAGTCCTGCTGGGCTTCATCATTCCAGTTAATCCAGGCGAAACTGCTGACGACCGAGATGCGCCGCGCAGTACTCACAGAAGGTATTGTCGCCCCAAGCTCCATCCACTGCCTTAGCACTCTGAGATGAAGCCAGCTACCACGGCTACGCAATCTGTCGGCCGCATTGGGATCAACTGCGACTACAGCACGCTGGGTCCCAAGCTGAAAGAGCCTCAGCCCGAAGACCCTAAACTCTAAACCCACCAGGACCAGGAACCCACCCTGCATCTCGAATGATCGAATCGCTAATCCCTAAACCCGGAAGCCTGAAATCTGCCTTGCCTTCTCTGCGAGCCCGCCAAAGGCAACAGAGGAGGATTGGATGTACCGGCCCTGTAGCAGGTTGCCCGGCCTGGCCCAGCTACTCCGATCGAGACGTAAGCCGAAGGTTGAGGGCTTTGGTGGTCAAGGGAGGCTACCGGCGCACAGCTCTACGCTCTATGACACCGTCAAGCAGCATGCTCTTCTCTAGCAATGGTTTTCAGCTCTATGTTTTCACTGATCCATTAGTCACTACACGATTTCACTAAGTGCACACAATGCGAGTGCTTCTCGAGGCCACAGGCATCCATGAGGTTCCAGGACTGCGAGTAAAGTCTCGGATCGGCCTCGGGCAAACGTAGACCTCTGCAAAGACGTTGCGCGAAGGACCTGTGCATGCCAAGCACCCTGGATCACTCGGAAGCATGTCGGGAAGATGATTCATGGCCTATCGCAAACCAACATCGAGGTACAATGGTACGTACTGAGGCTTCAGAAGTCGTCGCAATGCTATGAATCCAATGCCCAATGCCCGAAGGCCATAATGCTACAAAGCTTGCAAGAAAGATTGTGTCTCGGATTCTCGCCCCGCTCTCACCAGCACGCCAGCACGTCCAGACATTGAGCACTGCTGTGATCGTGGTGACGCAACGACTTGGCCTGCACTCCAATATCCTGCACCGACCGTCACATAGTTCAGGTGATCGAGAGGTGATGAGTCGATGTACCTGTGCTGAAAGCAAGCCGCTGATATGGATCATGTAAGCTCGTGCAAGCACAAGCCCTGCGTCTGCTTCTGAGTCGGAACTTAGGGAGTAGTGTGATCATAACTGAGTTCGCTGAAACACTGAAATGAACCTCGAACTCTGTATGTTCAAGCAGCTTCTCAGCTGTACTATGTCATTCATTATGCGATCAGCGAGGCTAGTTGGGGAAGTTGTGTTGTCTGCAAAGTGCTTCCGAGCACGATATGAGAATGTTGTGCCCGATGATCTCATCAGCACCCACACGAATCCTGGGTCGTGACAACACGATCAGCTTCGGTCTTATCAGAGGGGCTGCGGTAAACCGAACCAACCTTACAAAGGAGTGAACAACTGCTGAATTGGCTTGCCAAGGCTCAGCCCTGTCTGCGGGTCCGCATCGAACCACCACGTCCGAAAGCGAACCTGATCCAGAATGGGAGTCTGGTCCTGCAGTGCCAGAGACAAATGGGCGAATTGGCTTCAGTGTGAGTCTCTCCGTGCCTTAAGGTTGTAGGCATAAGGTAAGATTTGAGCAACTATTGCTTGGTGCGTTGAGTGGTGGGCTGGCCAAACGGAAGAATGAGTCGCGCTCGAGATCGTGGTGTCTTGTCTGAGCATTCAACATACGAGGTGCTTGGGCTGAAGGTTCAGTCGTTGCTGACATGGCAGCAGGAAGGGTCAAGAACAACCGTCACCCATATAAAACACCGGAACCTCAACACTCGTGGCTCAGAAACGAAACAGCAACTTAAACCAATGAAAACCTCTCACAGAGCCCAGCTTCCGGCGTGGAGTAAGTCACCACAGCGATCGGTGGCCCGAGATCTTCCTTGCATAAGTGGGCTTAGCATCAACTGAGGGGTTCGATACAAATTCACGCAAGTCACCAGGCGCTGCAGCTTGCTGCAGGCACCGTGCTCCGTGTGGCTAGCCAGCACAGAACTCTCACACGGGTTGCCACCGACATACCGTCACCCCTGACGAAAGACTTTAATGCAAGCCTGGTGTCGTTAGCTGGTTCCCTGGCATAGCCCCGTGACAGAGTCACTCGGGTGTTCTCCCAGCCACCGAGCAAAACTTCGTATCCCAACTGCCCAGGCTCCCCAACGAAGAAGTGCACCTCAGTGCAAATGCGATTCGGGCAGCTCGATTATGCCTGCCCGTCTTTTGCACAGGAACCACGCCAGGAAATCCACGACACAACTGCGCCGAGAGACATCTTGGTAGGCTCGGACAGTCATCACGAAGCTCACCTGCACAGGGCCGTGTCAGTTCTTCAAGAGCCATTTGCATCGCTCGAAGATTGTGGGGGTGGTTCGCTCATTAAAGATTAAACATTTGCTGCCGAGAGCGAGGGTGGATCTCATGCGTTCTCCAACATCTGCGACAATAAATCAATTGAGAACTGATACATGCAAGAATTCAGAGCCCTCCACGCTTTACCACAGTTCTCTGCACAGTAAGCGAATCGAGAGTGCCAGATGTAGCTTCCACGACTGCCGCCAATGTCGACGATTGTTGGTAGTGATGGTGGCGGTGGCGGCGGTGGTGGTGGTGGTGGTGGTCGTGGTCGTGGTCGTGGTCGTGGTCGTGGTCGTGGTGGCGGTGGCGGTGGTGGTGGCGGTGGTGGTGGTGGTGGCGGTGGCGACGGCGGTGGTGGTGGCGGTGGTGGTGGCGGTGGGGTGGCGGTGGTCGCGTCGGTGGTGGGGGCGGTGGCGGTGGCGGTGGCGGTGGCGGTGGCCGTTGCCGTGGCGGTGGCGACAGCAGTGGTGGTGGCAGGGGCGGCACTGGTGGTGGCGGTGCTGGTGGTACTGGTGGCGGCGGTGGCGACAGCGAGGATGATGGTGATGATGATGATGGTGATGCTGATGATGGTGGTTATTATGATGATGGTGAGCTTGTGATGCCGATTACGATGACGACAACGTGTGTAATGGTGGGGGTGGTGGTGGTGGTGGTGGTGGTGGTGGTGGTGGTGGTGGTGGTGGTGGCGATCTATGACGACTGCTTATGCTTCTGGAGCTGCTGCTGATGCGGCTAGCACTGGTGGAGGTGGCGGTACTGGTAGTACGGTGATGGTAATGCTGGCCACTCGCATAGCTTCAAGCTGCCCGGCATTAAACATGCCATGTTCTGTGCTAGCCGTTCAGACAACTTGTCCCAAAAAGTTGTCATGAAACAGGCTGAAGCTGTTGATGCGGCTAGTCATGACGATGAAGCTGGCCCTGAAGATAACGCTGATGATGCTGATGTTGATGACGATGATGATGAAGATGACGATGATGATGGTGATGATGAGGACGATGATGATGATGATGATGGTGATGGTGATGTTGATGCTGGTGATGACGATGACGATGACGATGACGATGGGGATGCTGATGACGATGATGGTCAATATGATGGTAATGGGGGGGTGGTGATGATGATGTTTAGTCAATTTACGCTTGGCCATAGTCTTACAATAACAATAACATACAATAACAAGAAGCTTGGCTACGATACGTATTGTGATCATACTGTTACTGGCAAAGTCGTTCTTCTCTAAGCACAACTAACCATAGCCCTTATCATTATCATTAACATTCTCATCATCAACATCGGTCTTCGTTGCTTTGACGGCGATAATCATCATAATAATCATCGTCGTCGTCGCGGTCGGCGGCGTCATGCTCATGATAACCATTACTGTTGCTAGTGTGTTTGTTACTACAATTACAGAATGTGTCACACTGCAGGACTGAGTTGTGCAGCAGTCTTTGTCACAGTGCGGCCGTGAACTTGACCATAATATCTCACACAGCTACGATTATGATTACTGTGGTTGTATTCATTGTTGTTACAGTTGCTACATCTACTACGGGTATGATTTCTGTACGGAGTGCAATTAGAATTGCCGTCATTATTAACACAATGACTACTATTATTGCCGTGATTACCGTCGTTGCTATCATTAACTATTAACCTCCTCTTCTTTTTGCTGCTACTGCTGCTGCTGCCACTGCTGCTTGCTGCTGCTGCTGCTGCGGTATTATTGCTGCTACTACTACTACTACTACTACTACTTCTGCTTCTTCTTGTACTATTACACCACTCTTAATGTGTTTGTTATTGCTATGGCTACCGCCATCACGACTAGCATCAGCACTGTTACTACCACATGGTCACCGTGGATACAGTTGTGACGGTCATGTTGATGATGGTGATGATCAATGATGATGTTGATGAATATGATGATGGCGGTTGCGATGAGGAAGCACAGCCGCCACTACGACAGAATGCATGCTGCTTGCAGGCATCACTTGGAGCGACTGCAACACCTAACTACCTAACCTTGGCCAGACTGCATGTCATGAACTACCACAACTGCTCCTGACCAACAACGAATTCATCGGCCTTCCTGTGTGAAGCACGGGAGACGCAGCCACCCGGGCCCTGATGAGGCTCCTGGCGAGTCGGGTCGGAGGCACGAGACGTGAGGCATAGGCTGTGATCCGCGTAAGGCGCGCAATCTCTTGCGGTCGGCAAAGGGTTTTGATACGTGCAGCGGGCGAAAGAGTTCCAAACAAAGAGAATGGAGAAGTGACAAGAAGCCTGCGCAGTGCTGTTAGATGCTGCGGCGTCCTGCCGAAGACCGCAAGTGCGGTAGTCCTGGCGAGGACCTCCCCACTGAGACCTGTCTCATGACACTCAGAGGCTACGACGACTGCGGTCACTGCGGCCGCGTCACAATTCACTAAGTGTCAATTTGTTACTGTGCTGTCCAGGCGCTGCTGGATATGAACCTCTGTGGTCTGATCATCCAGCCGGGATCGGAACCTCACACAATGAATCGCCCACGTGAACACCGTGTGAACGCCCGAAAGTTTCTGGGCCAGGGACACTTCCATCATCGGCATTCGCCCAGCCTGCAGTCGAAACGACACATGCGCTGGTCCGGCTGCCGCAGATTCTTCACTTTGCTGATCCCCGCCCTGCGGTCCCTACAAGTAGCCGCCTCGCTGTCCGTAGGTGGGACTTGGAGGTACTGGCAGCGCTGTCCCTTGGAAGAGAGTTGGCTCTGGTTCGGCAGAGCCAGACCCATGCTCCTGAGTGCAAGAGACTGAGGTTGCATTCTCCTAGTCTCCTTTCTTACATTTTCTTACCTTGCTGAGACTGCCCTGGAAAACCTCTTTTTGCGATTAGTCCGAGGCTCTCTCGCGCCACACAGGTCGAGAGGGCTGGGTAGGCCTTCCCTGGATCCTGGAGTTCCAGTCCGACCGTCACATTAAAGTCCTCCGCTGAGACGGCTGTCACCGTCAGATATGGCCTGAGCTGAATTTCCAGCGCTTAAACCATGTGCGTTGTCGCTGAAGGACCTTCGGTGAACGAGGAACATAGACTAATATGGGTAGAGGCGGTAGAGGGATGTCTTTGCTGCCAAGCGTCCCTATCATGTCCACCGTTGTAACTGCGACGGGGTTCAACTCAGGGCCAGAGCTGTTCGCTGCATCAGTGGACCAACCTGGGTGCCAAGAGCAACTCAAGCCGCTCTTGAATACAAGCCGGTCCTGGATGTGCAGGGTACTACGGGTCCTAGATCTGGCATAACACCTCCCACATGACTCGAAGCCCTCACACAAGATGCTGTGCTTGCAAATCTCATACTGAGACTTGATGTACAACGATGCACCCAACCTGCCGAGGCACAATGAATGTTGTACAACGATCCTGGAGTGACGCCGTCTATGATGACACTGTTCTCGGATTCTGCAACATAGGCAACCTGCAAAACTTACTGGCAGAAACCGCAGAGAATATCCACCCAAGTTTGAGCCAAGAGGTATTCACTTCATCGGGCACGTGCCTGATAGAAAGCACCATTTGTCCAGTTCTCAGCGTTGGGGGAGACGTAAAGATCTGTGAAAGCGGTGAACTCCTGACCGGGAACGTCTGACTTCGCCATACTGCTCATTCTTGGCACTCCGACCTGCCTGGTTTGTCGCGGTTTCTTCTGCAGCCATCCTCTCCGTCCAACTGATGAAATCATCTGTCCACTCCAGTACCACCTCACAGGGTCAGCTGTACAGGCGACGTGTTTCCGATATGTAGCGGGGGCTTGCCGAGACAGATTCGGGGAGCAGCACGCAGAAACACGAGAGCCCTGACGGCCCCCAAGCATTCGCTGTACTTTCCACTGGTGTTGCAAATTGTTGCACCTTGGAGGGCACGCAGTCGATGTCCCAATGCCCCCTGAAACGGAGGATGGCAGCTTTTTGTGTGAGGCCCATGTCGATGGCCAGCCAAGCATCAGAAATGGTGTCCTGAGCTCAGGCTGTGTCCATTCATGACCGTGGCGGGCTCTTGCAAGCCCAAGCCAACAGTCAGTCACTGGAACAGCCGAGTGTCCATGAGGTACTTGCTTGCCAGACTGCCATCAAATGCAGCAGACTTCACGGCACCTCAGAAGAGGCCCAGACTCTGCGCCTTCAGACTCGAGATTCTGGTGGCAAGCGAGTGGCCAGGAATCTCAGGAACTTTTGCCACATAGCCGGCGGGCTCGACCTTGCGGCCTGCTGAACGCGCACCAGAAGCAACGGTGCCGAAAAGTTAAACATGTTTTCTCAGACGGCACCTGATTGCTCCAGAGGCGAAACCTCGTAGAACTCGGCCTGGAGATTCAAGGACCAGGCTAAGTTGAGCAGCTTCTGGGCAGGGATGGTGTGGTTGCGGTGCTGTGGCAGAACTGCCTCTGCAATGTTGATCTGGTTCCTGTCCGGGCAGGCATGGCCCTGCGGAATGCCTCAGGCTTTAGCGGTAACTAACATCCGTTCCTGGCAAGAACCTTGACACTAGTGGTTCCGTCTTCTGGCTGCGGTGAAGCCACGGATCCGCCACCCACGGTGTGCCTCATCATGCGCGAGGGTCGGAAGATCAGGACAAACTTTCCTTTGAGCTGCCAGTAACTTGACGGATCATAAATGAGCCGCTCGTCTGTAATCTGCCTATCTACCTACTACTGATTATCTGATTGTTTACGGTTCCCTTGTGAAGATGCTTCAGGGCTGCCTCTGCATCGCCATTGCGCAGGCAGGTTCGTGGTGGATCCGTCGGCTGAGGTGCGGGATCCTGAGCAGTCAGAAAGCTTTGGTTACAGGCTATGTAAGCCGTATAAAAGCAGCCAAGATGTGGCCCGATATGGCCTGATGCTGCGACCGAGCTGACCCTCTAATTGATCCGCAGAGAAGAATCGAAAACCTCCCGAACTTGAAGGTTCAGAAAACACCCCAAGGATCTTTCCACAGTCTATGTGTACCTAAGCGCCAACTCCAGGTCAGGGGCATCCACCCTAGACATCATAGGCACACATATGTATGTCTATGTGTAACAACACATACACTCATACAGACATGTATACGTATATTGACCGACCATTCAAGTCCACGTTGTCTCCCAGTTGCAGTTGCCGGGTTGTATGGTGGAGCGCAGGCTGCACACATCGTCAGCACGGGGTAAGACGAGCCTGTGTCCTGCGCATTGCACGTAAAAAGCTCCTGGAGCCTCACCACCTTCAAATGCCGAGATTCACCCTAGCCGCGAGACAAGGAAAGTCACGCCTGACTGTTGGAAATCGCGTCAGAGTGGACACGACCAAGATTCGGCAGTGATGAAAGGCCCTCTGACCGCAAGGCGCAAGCCCAAAATGAACCTTCCTGCCTGTATGTGACCGGTGATCCTGATCCTGGAGTCCAAGTTGCAGCTCTCATCCTTATCTGCGGTTGGCGGATCATGTGCTTTTCTCGGTCTCGCTTGCACTGAGTCCTACATGTAGGGCCTGCGGAGTGTCTTCCAGGACATTTCTTGAAAACCGTGGGTTGTTTCAACTGAGGCTCATTGTTGTGCAGTGCCGGCTGTCCACTGCATTACCGAACGACTGAGAGTATGAAGGGCTGCTTAATATTTGGCTCCACAGAATCGGCTTCTGGCAGTCAAATTTCAGCTAACCCCATCGCGTGACAGGATAAGGGCAATTTGGGGAAGGGAGGGAAGGAGACAGGTGGAGGATCGGCCATCCCACCTCATTGCGCCGAGCAGCGCAATCATGAAGCCTTGCATGCAGAAAGGAATCACTACATTGCACTGCATTGGCATGGACTCACGTCCCACCAATTTCGCTTGCTTTCCACTTACCCTCGAAACCCCGAACCTGGCAACCCGACCAAAAGTAGAACCGATCCTGTCTCGAAGGTCTCAAATTCTCACTACTATTGAGACCATAAAGTAGTCTTATGATTGTATTATCTTGCAATTATTATTCTTCCCCACATCATTGTGTGGGGTTCTTACTTTTGGGGGCTGCCCCGCCTCCTCCTCATCCTCCTCCTCATCCTCCTTCTCCTCCTCCTCCTCCTCCCCCTTCTCCTCCTCCCTCCCTCCTCCTCTTTCCTTCCTCCTCGCTCCTCTCTCCTCCCTGCACACACACACACACACATGCAGACACACACACACAACACACACACACACACGGAGATGTGGGGTAAGATTCATTGTCGGCTGCCGCCACTTCAAATGAACTCGAGAGGACCATATAGAAGTCGTTCAGACCTGTATGTTTAATCGTCCTGACATATGTGCGATGCGAAAAAAGCAGATTGCAGCAACCGTCCAGAATGCAGTTCACTTCGTGGCCGACTGTGGAAACAACATCCTCCTTGAGGGTATTTCGGGCGGGCCACACTTGCAGGTACGCCGAGTTGATCAGACTCGATATCCCATGACTGTGGTAGCTTCGTTGAGTGCGGTCCCACAGTCATGCCGCACTCCCCTGCTGTCACAGAAACGAAAGATTGCCAGAGACCCTTAGCTTAGAATCAGGGTGTACACACACACACCCCCTCTCCAGGGGGGGGATTTAACCTGCGCGACTGTCTGTGTCACAAAAGTCATCTGACAGCCTGGTGCTGTACCTGAACAGTGCAGCTGGATCAACCTTCCGTTCTCATCTTGGCTCACACACGCACACACACACCCTTCTCGGCTGCTCCGGCGGAGGCCGCGCGC